TACTCTTTCCCTTGGATCGTCTCGCCAGAGGTCGGTAACTGCCCCGTCGGACTAGTTAAAAGGCCGATCACTTGCTTTCTACATTAAAAGCAGTGGTGACCGGAACAAGGAACGGCAGAACGAGTGAACGGGAAGCTAAGTTAATAATTGCTTGGTATCGCGGTCTTAAAAATAAATTTAACCTGGAAATAAAAGTACCTCGATGTACTTGCGTTGTCGTCCCACAATGTCCCACGATAATAGAGGCCTGTAAGTAATCTGAAACAAACTAAAAGAGGCTGCATTTGCGATTAGTTGAAGAGTTAAATATAATAAATTGGGAAACACGAAGCTGTGAAATAAAATAAATAAGTTAGCCCAGAGAAACCAGTGACGTAAAATAGACATGGACAAGAGCACAACATATACAATAAGCAACATTTAGGACAAGAATGAAATATGGGAACAAACACATTTACAAACAAGGAACCAGAAGTGAAATATGTAAGCAACCCCACGACGCGACGTTCCGATATGCCCGTCAGCCCAGAGGTGAATGAGTGAGCTCGTCACCGGCAATGTAACTCAGCCTCAAGCAGCAAAATTATAGGGGTAGGAAAGACCGACCTTGGCGAGTTCACCAATCCAGTAACAGTTAACCGTGTCTCTGATTGAAAATTAAATATACTACGCAAATATTCTATCCAACATTATTTTAACTATTGCCTGATGTTAATTAATAATTGTTGCAAACAATAGGAATGAAAATATGGATAAATTCCAGGAGACTGAAGGATTCTTTGAATTTCTAACGAGAACCAAGGTCAGACATGTAAATCACATATTCGTTTCTTCGACCAAAAAATGAATATTCCACGCGAAAGGGTATCAAAAACGATTATTTGTACAACCCACGCTATCGAGCATTATTTTAACTATTGCTTGATGTTAATTAATAATTATTGCAAACAATAGGGATGAAAATATGGACAAATTCGAGGAGACTGAAAATTTCTTTGAATTTCTGTCGAGAACCAAGATCATACATCACGTATTCATTTTTTATCTTCATTATCTTCGATCTTCTGCCCTTTATACGATACTTTCTTTTGTATAAGTTTTCACCTTGAAATGAATGACCCAATCTGACTGCCATACCGATTATTTTTTAAATAAATAAGGATTTTCGGTGTAGTTGTCAATGAGGTACATCCTCACGTATTTTAATAATCTTGAAATCTTTAAATAATCTTAATCTATTACTCCAATGAAATTAATCGATTGATGCCCAATTCTGAACCGTACAGCTTTCATTCCGTTAAAAAATAATAAAATTTCTGTAATTTCATTTTCTGTCTCACTTCCTCTTGTGTTAATTTCTAAATCTGTCGGTAACGTTGCGAGTGACGCGAAAATGGTAATGGGATCCCGGGACCCCAGAGAAACGGGCCGAAAGATACTGAAAGGTCTTTTTTCTTGTGGTATAACGATTACTATTGGCTACTGTTTGTCTCTGCTGGCCTCTGCTAGCATGTGTGGGCCTCTACTGACCACTCCTGATACTTCTGACAACGTATAACGATTACTACTGGCTACTGCTAGCATTTGCTTGCCTCCCGCTGTCCTCTGCTCGCCTGATGGTCTTTGCGTACATCTGCTGACCACTGCTGATATTTCTGACATGATATATATGTGATAACGACAATAAATGAGAGGCTTTTCTCTCTCGACTCCCACGAGACGATCCGAAATTACTTCGGGCAGCTTCGCAGAATAGAGAAAGAGGGCATGCGTCAGTTTGTCTTTGTCGACTCTCCGAAACTCTACGAGCTCACGTACGCGTGATCTGGCATATACATACATATATAGTTCGTTTGTGATGATGCACAGTGTTTCATTATTTGTTATTTTATTTTATTATATAGGGTAACGATAGAGGGTATAAAATTATAGAGACTAATGATAGGATTGTTACCATATAGGTAAGTAATAAACTTATTTATTTTCAATAATTTAAGAATAATAAAATTCCTTACCTTCAATTTACGAACTACTGCCTGTGGAAATAGATACATTTGAACTGCGGATGAAATTCAAATATCATTTGTTCTGTAAGACACGAATACTTAGGTCGAGTAACCTCAACACAGTTCATACTAGAAACAAGCAATTTTATTTCACTATTTTTCCGAAGAAACAATTCTTTCTTTCTTTATTTTGTCGTGTTTAATAACTTACTGTACCCTACTCCTGCAGCTACTATACGTTCTGCCACGTGCGACTTGCAACACATGGCTACCGCCATTTTTCTTTCTTCTGGTTTCTAGCCACTGTTACCAAATTGTCACATTTATCTTGAGCCAGGTAGTACAAGAAATAAAGCAAAAAAAGCATACTAGGTATTTATAGAAATATGAAGCATAGTGTATGGACTATAATGTCACGGTTCGATAACAATTTGAATATCTTTTTTATTTGAAATAAAAGAATTTGTTCTCGAAGATGCAAAGGTTGTTTCAGATTTTCCTTATAGAATAATTGGTTGAACACTTTTGTATAATTGACATTAGGGAAAGTTGCCCTAAGCGGCTAATTTATTTTATTTCGACTTTAGAAATAGTTCACGCGTATAGTGTTCAATTCCTTTTCGCGATTATTATGTCAAATAAGAAATAAAAGGTGAAGATAATTCTTTATGGTTGCTGGGTGAGTTCATTGAAAGATAAGTACTGGAAAAATTTGTTACTTAAATGCACACACTATTTATTTCGAATGCATAATCGTACGGTTAACATACCTGGTGTCGCGCCTTTCTGTTGATCAATCTTGCACCGGATATAAACGATGAATCGACTTTGTTTTATCGGATACTTGGAATTAGATTCAACTATATATAAATGTCGATATCTTTACGATGTACACACAATAAACATCCATTACTCTTGCTTCGCTTCCGTCCCTTACACGAATATAAATAATACCGACTTAAAAACTATTTTACGTTCTTTTATTGGCCTAGAGGTTACATCTACGAAACTGCTGTTAAAAACTCTGCGAGACGTCATTGCTAACTCCTCTCGCCAATACATTTCATTCATTTTCGTCGCTGACGTTCGAAGTTATGCTTCGCTAATGTTGTACAATTTCTGCATCCTAAATCCTTTTCGTCTCGAGTCGTTGATTGCTCGTCTTATCGAACACCTTTACCACCGTTGGATCTTTATTTCGGATATGAATTTCGTTTTAACCTATGTTACAATAAATAAAAACGTCGCTTCTCCTCGGTGTTATTACACAGATGAATTAATTTCTGGTGAAAAAGTGACGGTTTCCACTAAAGAACGCGTACATTCGAAATAAACGTTTCGACTAATCTCGTTTCTTACAATTGTTATACAAGAACGTTCCTTCGCGAGAGAAAATGCACGCAGCAGTAACAAGTCGGTGAAAAACAAGATGGTCGAACGTGATACGTATCTATTATCTTAATATTCTCTAACGTCGACATTTCTTTGCGAATCGCGTGGCAATTCGCGTTTTCAAGTGACAAAATCGGTAGCGTTTTTTTTTGTCTGGAGTTGAGGCCGGGCACCGCGTGTACCGTTTTACGAAGAAAGCGAACCGGATACACCGAGAGTGAGCGAGACAGAGTAACAGTCAACCACCAATGTAAAATAACAATTTTTTAGAGTACTACCAATAGACTGGCGATGTTCTCGCGATAAAAATGAAACCCGGAATTTGAAATCCATCTGTTGGTAATACTGGCGTAAAGTTGTGTCGAAAAAATATACAAATTTTAATTATCATTGGTGGATGAGGTTCGATGCGGTGCGCGATGGACATAACTCGAGTCGGGTGTAAAAAATTGTCACTCGAAGGTAGAGAAAATTGCTGTACGTCGCGTTTCAACGGAGCATCTTTGATATCTATGGTGAACAAATGCCACGAAGACTCCTATGGTTTGCAATCCCCGCTGTCTATATTACTTAATTGTCATCGAAAAGAAAATACTTCCGCTAACAACACATAAAAATATCTCCCGGTACCTCGTAGCTCTGTTACAAAGAGGTTTCGCATGATGTCGTCATGGATCACGCATGCAAAACAACGGTGGCGAATTGGCCGCTATCCTTACTCATTGCTAAAACGATCTTTTCAAGCTACGTCCGCGCGCGATGATACAAGAAACGCCATTAACAAAATCGGATGTCACCTGAGAACTATTACGCTTTCGATATCTATTCGAGGGATTTACGATCGTGATCGGAAACGCAAACGAGATCTTCCAAGCGGCAATTAGCGATAATTTATATTACTAAGGTAGTTGTGGGTTACGCGGATTTTCTGACCGTGAGTTAATCTCTTTCTCTCCCTTCTCAACGCCGACGACGACTCACCTACGACAGAGTCTTTCAGAGATAATTGTGTTATTCTTTCTGTGGACCTGCTCATGGCTGATGTGTTTCTTATGCATATTCTCTTAGGCGTGTACGAATATTTTAAAAGTACGGTTAGCGATTCTCGACCTCGTCTTCGGTCGACAGACTTAAAGCTCGATTCGATTTTCGAGTTCGGTGAGTTTCTCGGTTGTTCTCGGAAGATTGCATTAAAAATAATTGGAAAATGCCGATAAATTCGCCGTCGACAAGACGACTCTAATAATTTCGAACGATGCTTCCGTTATGCGTGATAACGTTGCCTGTACACGCCCGTCGATTTACAAAAATTCTCATCGCGATACGAAAGAAACGATATCTTCCGTCGAACGTAACACCTATTTTTGCACGTGTCTTTTTAACATTGCCAATCATCGTCCTTATTTTTCGTTCCACGAACGATTCTACGGAGTCATCCTTGGATTCAAAGGCAATCGACGATCATCGACGACAGTGGAATTGTCTTGAAACCTACGCGAGAACCGCCATTCATCGATTTCGACCGTCTTCTCCTTGCGTCCTCCTGTATCTAACGTTTGTAAACTAACGTAAGTTAAAGAAGCTCGAGCCTATGGAGAGGATGTCGACACCGATGACCACCACGGTCACTGTAGCCTCGGGGACCAATATTGCGCCGCCATGTCTGGTGCTGGTTGGCCGGGTACAGCGATTGGCACGCTGACTCCTGGTGATATCAGACCTGGAAGATCATTTGAAAATCATTCGATCAGCTGTTTCGACCAGTCATTTTGTTAAAATTATTTCGTCACGCGATACGTTAAGTGTTAGCGAGTTTTGTAAATACGGTTAATAGATTAGTTATGGCAATCTTAAAATGTGTTTCTCAAATATCTTTCTGGTAACCATGCAGAAAAGTAGTCTTTTCGATCGACTAGGATATAGAGAACGTGGAAAAAATTGAAAGATTGAACTGTAATTTGAAGTATAAAGATGGAAGCGAACTTTTTAACGAACGGCTATGATGCACACCACCGGCCATACGTTTCGTGAAACAGTTTACGAGTAATTTAAAATGGTCGAGTTAGGTGACTCATCCTGTATACCCATGTCTTTTACCACATCGATTGAACTGTTATGCGATGTTACCCTTTGGTAACTGTTGCAAATGGCTGACAGTGTAGGCAAATAAAAAGAAAAACACTCGACACGTCGAACGAAATTATTCTTTCCTACGAATATTCCATGTCTTGGAGTGCATAAATGTATTCTAATACTTTAATGATAACTATAAGAAGACAAATCGGTTATTGTAGCTGTGTGCGTGGCCAGCAGTGTACACAAATGAGACTACGGGGGGGTAGGTTTCCTCTCAAAACAGTTCAATCTTAGCCAGTTTGCGAAAGGTCTTTGTACGTCGCAAACAGAGAATGCCCGGAGCGATTTTCATGAGCGCACGTTGAATCTCTGATTTGCGTCAGAACATCGTTAAACGAGAAGAGAGAAAGGGCTCTGTAATCGCAGAAAGACCTTCGTAACGCGGAAGCGAGTATAATCCATTACCGGCAGCCTCGATAGAGCGTTATCCGTGGTAGTCCGTCCGCTAAAGTGCAAGCAGCGAGTGCAGTGAGTGCGGTAGACACTCACCGGTCGAGCTGGTGTTCTGATTGTACTGGTTCAGGCCCGCCGTGTGGTAAGGCTGAGTGGGACTGCATGTGGGCCGCGCTCCGTATCCAAGATGGAGGGGCTCGTAACTAGGTGGACGAGCAACCCCGCACGAGTAGCCATTGTCCCGTTGCTGGAGACAGGCGCCAGGACTAGGGCCAACCGTCATACCCACGGTCATGCCCATCGGACCCATCCCACCCCCAGTCGACAACGACGACATGCTGCTAGTCGTGTGCTGGTTCTGTTGGTTGCCACCCGACATCGTGAAGCTCGGCATTGACGTCATGGGACTGGAAAAGCAACGTTTCGGGTTCAGCATGAAGCGTGGCCTCAAGATTCATTCGTAGCAAAGCGAATCATTTATGTGTTATTATGTAATTTGCTGCGTGGAGCAAGCGAGTAAGTGTCATCAATAAGGCAATTCTAGCAGGTATAGGAATGGAGTATTAGCGAGAGAGGGAACTATCTCACAGCTAGAGTACCTACTTCTGTCATAAGTTCTTTCACGAGTATTGGAGTATTGTACAAAAATACCATTAAAAATTATGACGATTATAAACTGTGGTCGAAGTTGGTATATTAGCCATTAATTGGGTTTATATCAATAGTGGGAACTCGGTACAACATTGGAATCAGTGACACCTCCAGTGATCACATTTTCTGAATACTTACTGCTTCACTGTTCGCGCTTAATTAAACTATGTACTCATGTGTCGAAGTATCGAATGTATTTATACCGGACTAGATTATAATTTACGTGAGGATATCGATGATTTCTGTTATTAGTGATTGTTGTACCCGTGTATTTCCTTATTTGGAAGTGAATTCTCACCTGTACGAATCAGGCATGCTGGGTATTCCGGGATAAACGGCGGTGGGCGCGAAACCATGATGTATCCTAGGCGGCGAGGGCGGTGCTTGCGGGGGCGGTTGACCACCCAATATACCCGAGGCCGGCGGTGGCGTTGGATGACCGGTACCAACGAGGCTCACTCCGCCAGCGTGTTGCTGCTGCTGTTGCGACTGTTGCTGTTGCTGCTGCGGCTGCGGTTGTTGCTGGTGTTGCGGGTTGTCCCTCCGTTGCGTGCGCAATTTCTCTTCGCGCCGCCACTTCGCCCGCCGATTCGAAAACCAGACCTGAGTTAGTGAACGAGAAGACAGACGAAAATACAGGTCAATCGCTAGGCTACAAGTTCCGCCTATTTCGGTCACCAATCTGAACGACATATTTATTCAACGCGCGACGCTAAGTGAAAACGAAATGTCACATACCCTAGAAATTCATTAAAACAATCGGTTTTTATCGCTTACAAGAATTAGTCAAAATGAACACAACTAATATCTTTCATTAACAATGATAGAACCGTTGAAATTCACTGCTTAACAATTATTAAAGAGATTCGTAATAATTTACTTTTGCGTTCTAGCTTGAGAAATAAATAACATTAAGGAGCAAACAGTATTGACGGTCGAATAACCTTATAACATTCATTCGTTTTAGCAATAAAATGCTTGGAAACATAGATCAAGCACGGAATTAATAAAATTATATAATGTTATCCTGTAAAACTCGTAGTGCCAAGGGTCGATGCAAAAAGACTACGTGACTAATAATAAGTGGACGTAGAATAATGAACGATGATATACGTAAAACTAATAATCTAACAAATTGCGATTCACCCTTGTATTCTTGGAACATCGAACGAAGACTCTACATCCGAATTAATCGTACTAGCGTGTAACATTGGACGTAGAAAGTATATTCACCTGTATTCGTGCTTCCGGTAGGCCGATTTTACCGGCCAATCTTTCCCTGGCGAAAACATCCGGATAATGTGTCCTCTCAAATTCCTTCTCGAGAGCATCGATCTGCTCGTTACTGAAGCTCGTGCGATTTCTCTGGAGCTTCCTTTTCAAGCGAAGACGCGCCTGATCGTCGTCCGTGCCGCCAGACACACTTCCGGCGTTGCTGTTGTCGCCGCCGCTGTTCGTTTCATCCGAGTGTGCGCCACCCTCGAGCTCCGCCACTGTAAAAGTGAACGAACATTCGTACATATATTAAAAAATTCAAGTTAATTCTAGTTCCCAAGAAAAGGGATACTCCTCAAAGAAAAATAAAGAGTTCTAGTTCATCTTATTCCTAGTAATTACATTGTAGACGTTCCTCATTGTTACAACTCAATTTGTCTCTCAGTGTTACATCCATACGCAAATGAAAATATTCTTTTCATCGAGGGTGTGAAACAAATACTAGATTTCGATTGCATAATTTTATGGTCGTATTGTTTAGTGTCCAAATGGCACTAACTACGTTCAGGATCAAAAATAATCACAAGATCCCCGCGAGACTGTATTCCCGATCGATCGAAGCGGCTCGAGTTTTTACTGACTCTATCTTTCATATTTTTTTCCCCCCCCTCCCCCCACTGTGGGTCGTCGACAAAGACCTTCGTCAGTTTTCTTATATAAATATCTAGGTGCGTATACGGTAGCACGGATGCGTGTATGAGAGACCGAACAGAGAGTGGCAGGCAGGCGTTGCTGGGTGAACCTTATCGTTGGTTTCTGGATGAGCGCGTCCAGGCATCACTGGGTTTTGGCTCAACGACGAGAACTGCGGGGGTGGGTTGGGAACGGGAGGCGGTAGAAGGTGGCGGAATAGCTGTAGGAAGGAGCGAAGGGGGTTGCACGATAAGACGTCGAGCGTCCCAACGCCAGTCGTTGGTCTCCCTAGCGTGATACGCCTCTGTCTTCCAACGAAAGTGCCATCCTTCTGTTTTCCTTCCTCTCTTCCGTTTCCCATCTATTCTTCTTCTCAGTTTTTTTCTTATCCGTACCCTGTATCGTTCTGCTTCTCGGTTTAATTCAACCCTTCGCCATCTTCGCGATCCTTGCCCTGCGGTAGTCGCTACTTATCCGCTATTGGATTAAAACTTTTTGAGAGTAGAAATCTTCAATTCGTTTCTTTAACAGTTAAAACGCAATCGAAACATTTTAAAATGCGTTTTTCCACCAAAAATCGCAACTTTCCATAGGCAACTGATTAGAATCCCGATTCATCATCGGTTCAGCGAGATAATATTGTACTTCGCCGTTAGCGATTAAAGTTTGCTACCAGGGAACGAAGAGAATCGCTAGTTTTCATAATGATACCGCCGAGGAAGTGAGAGAACTCCAGAGATAATCCCTAACTCCCTTTCATGGACGCGGTTAAGGTTCATCGTGGAAGCTGGCAGGGAGCCACGTTTGTAGCGCTAAATTTCTAACGGAATCGGAGGGCTGCTACACCAAGTTTCCAGTACAGGATGTACAATACAGAACAATGTGGAACTTCCTCTTCCTCCGACTTCTTTCACAGTTCTTCCTCTTCTGGTTGCTTGGAGTTTCTGTCTCCGTTCGGTACCTTCTTGTCCTTGTTTTTCCCCAATTTCCCACGTTTCTACAGGCTTTACTTATGCACTTTTTTGTTACGAACTCCTCGCTTAATGTCCTCTTTCTAATTAATTCCCAATATTTTCCCCGTTAAAACTTTTACGATGGAAAGCTTACGTTGTTACAACGTAAAACGAAGCGAAGCCATTATTTCATTAATTGCTTTTGAAAGAAATTTCTATCGAGCACTTCAGCGAGTACGTGTATTATATGTACGATTGGACGCTTACGGAGCTGTCGAACCGTCGCTGGAAATCCACGAATGTCCGTAATTTCGAAGCAACGAATGCAAAAGAAGGTACAAGAATAATGAGGATCGTAAAACGCGAGCTTGCTGCGGCGCTCGTTCGCGAAACCGTTAAAATACGACGACAACCGGGAGGAAAACGGTGTTTAAAGGATCACGCAGCCGGGCCAGCGAGAAAATAAAGGTGGCGGAGTCGTTGCCGAGTAATGGTCCTGGTTGCACGAGTTGTAAACAGCATTATTACCGTCGATAATGGCCGTTGGTGCATTTAGTTAAGCGTCAAAGCTCGCGATTCCGGAATTTTTCGTGCCACGCTTGCTACAACTTTGGCCATCGACGCCATTGTGGTACCTTAAGTTTCTGATTAGGTCTTCGATATCTATAAGATAAATTTCTTGACAGTTGTGTTGTCCTAAAGTAGACGAGCATACGTATCATTCGAATCTTGACTTCGGTCTTGACTTAAAATTGTGCTTTTCCTGGTTTCCAGTTAAGGTTCTGTATTGGAATACATCATCATATATTTTTTAAGGAAGTTTACTGTGACATGGTTGTATAGCAAAATGGACAAAATATTAACCATTTGCACTCGTTCCCTCTGAAGGCGCATCCAGCAAAGAATTTGGATGTACCCTCTAAGGAAGCACAACGATATTATTGTTTTAAAGTGATTATATAGGGCAAAATACATGAGCAAAGAATATCAAAAAAATATATATTTGTTTGGAGTATTTATTAATAACTAAAGGAACATTATATGCCAGCCTCCCCCGAATAAGTTAAGAAACATCATGCGCGTTCGTTGCATCGCCAAACCGTAGAGGTCCTCGAGGAAATGAAAATGGCCAGCCCCGTCGACGATCACGGAAAAAGAGTAATAAAGGGAAACAACGAGAGGTCAAAGAGAAACACGACAAAAGAAACTCTTAAACTTTCTATACGTGTACGCGTGCCTTTCTAGTTTCTCGAGAGACACTCGAGCAAGGAGAGGAGGTTCTCGGTATGGTCGGCCATTCCTGGCGTTCTGTACCGGCTACTTAACTTCCGACGCGAAACAATGCTACACTTTAACCTCGTGCGTGCAACAATAACGTTGCACCAGTGGTGAATTTAAACGGTCGCGCGTGCTCACCGCTGGCTGACCGATTGTTACCGACCAAAAGTGCGATCGCGTTTCGCTCCCGCGGCCCTCTCGTTTCCTATAGCGTTTGTTCTCCTTCTTTGTTGATAAGTGCACGGGGCAAAGTGGCGAACGTTTCTTCTATCGAAACGTTTTTAATACGCTCGACTTCCCTCTCATTTTCATTCCCTTTGTTCGATAATCGTCATCGGTCGCATGGTAAGCGATACGAAACCAGTCTTTGTTGGCTCAATTGGTACGCCTGCCTTGGCGTGTGCTGTCGATAGAGATTCCCTAGGTTTAGGTTTACTACGCGTCGAGCTGATGATACTATCAAAAATTGATTATAGCATTAACGTTTTTGATTTTGGATAAAAGGTCTTAATTTTCCCCCAAATGCACTGATAAATGAAAGAAAATTATCGTGAAGAGTACCCAAAAGTTATAGGGAGAAACGAATAAATATACTTATACAGAATGCTCTGTAAACGCTGACAAATCTTCATAACAACTAGGTTCTTATGAAAGTAATAGAATTTTTAATTTTTAAGATGAAGATTGATAATGGCGAACACTCAAACTGTACAGTAGTGCCTCCATTATCCCAATGATTAAAGATTGAACTTCTAGGCGAAACTCCATTGTCCAGACTGTGGACCAGCGTAGTTTCAGTTATCCGAACGCGTATTTTGTGTTCCTTATTTTGCTTTTTGAACACAAAGAATATTATTTGAGATTTAGTAAATGTAATTGAATTTAAAAATTACAATACGTAAGTAGGTATATGAATTTTTATAATTCCGACAATTTTGCAATAGGATACGAGCTTCTATCATCTATTTAAATTACGGATGTTTTAATCACAAATTATTAATAATGGTGAATACTCTATACAGTAGTATCTCTATTATCCGAACAACCAAAGGTCGAACTTCCAGATGAGACTCCATTACCCAAACTGAGGACCAGCGTAGTTTCAGTTATCCGAACGCGTACTTTGTGTTCTGTATTTCAGTATTAAATACAATAACCAATAAGAAAATTACTAAACGATACAATTAACGCGTGTTTAACATTACAAATCAGTTTTGTTCGAGTCTGGCCGTGTTTGGACCCCCGTTTACCGAGCATCGAAATCTCTGGTATCCGAACTAATAAGGAAAGGTGGTCGCTGGTGGACCGTTCGAACAGCGCTTCGGGGTAAAAAAAAAACAGGGAAAACAGCGGGAAAAATTGCATCGTCGAGGGGACCAAAACTCCCGTTCTCGGAGAGGGGCGGGCGCAGGGGTGTCGCACGAGCGGGGCCAGATGCACCGAGCGCCGCGTCGAATGCCAGAATAGCCCGGCGATGATACAGATGTTAGCAGGATTACTCACGGTGTTCATCGGAGCGAATAGGAAGTCATCGGCGGGGACCAAGAGCAGTCGGTCCTCTTTGCAAAAACGAGCATATTATTAAGGGTCGGCTAATATCGCGTAATGTCGACCACACCGCCGCGGCCTGTCCCCCCCCCATCTCTACCCCCCTTCGTCGCCCCCCTTTCTCGCGCATTTTTATTATCCTTTCTGGCGCGTTGAGACGCGCGCGCGTTTCCCCCTCCTCGCGTGGCTCGTTCCTTGCTGCGTAAACGGTGCGACGCCATAGGTGAATATCGGAGAAGGGAGGTTCTGCACACCGGTATGGGGCAACGAAAAAGATCGCGTACATTGGGCCACTAGCACCCCACCACTCCCCGACACGGGGCGATTATCATTTTGAAATCGACTAGAAAAGCCAGTCGGTGACAATGGCCGGCCATGATGCGTTAGTAACGGCCATTTACAGAACGAACCCCGGGGGAAAGAATGGACGACGTGTCGGAGAACGGGGGGCGGAGGGAACCGGGGGGCTCACATCGTGGAACAGGAGGGGGAGGGGGGGGGGCTTAGACGACAGAGGGTGAGAGGATTAGAGGAACGACACGGTTAAGCGATGGATTCGCGTGCACGTATTGCGCCCGGAAGGCTTGAGAATGTGTATCTCCGTCATTGGACGGAGATGCGTGTTTATTAATCAATGGTGTAGGGTCAATGGGTTAGCTTAACCGGGACTAAATTTATGAGACTCGAGACGTCCATAAGAAGGAGGAAGGGACGAAGCACGGTTGTATATAGACCACAGGTTTTAATTCTCAAAAAAGTACGGAAATTATTATATTGGGTGTCCCCGTAGCATGTGGGATTACACT